TATAAATACCATCTGGAGGATTTCCGTCAAAATATGCAAGTACAAGGATATCCTTTGTTTTATAAATACGGCTCAATATAGTTAAATCCCTTATACAATAAAATACTGTTAGTACTTTTATTTACGTCGTGCATATCGAGGTCTATGTGTGAAGTTGACATCAGATATTCATTACACACACACCTACGTGCAATATCCATGAGCAATATAAAAAAGGGGATTACTTAATTATTATGAATGCAGTAACCGGTGAGTATGCGTGTAGGAATCTCACACAAGATTTCAGTAATTACGTTTTACGTTAATTGCTATGCACATATAATAACAGTTTATCTGACTGTCCTTTATGCTGATCTATTATCTTCAAGACAATTGTTTTAGTCGAGAGTACGAAATATACTCGTGTGGTGTGGTAAAACAGCAGCGAAAATGATGGGTAGGAGATTGCTCAATTTGCAACGTCCTCCTCAGACTCTAGAAGCACTTCGAGAGGAGTTGGTGGTTGCCTGGAATGAGATACCACAGGAGGACATTGACCACCTGATCAGAAGCATGCCTAGGCGCGTTGGAGAATGCGTAGCACATCAGGGTGCATCCACACGTTATTAAAGGTCGAAGGGCTTTAAAGCAGTGCAATCATTTTGAAATTTTTATCATTTACTTATTACGCTTCAAAAAGTACTTATACAAAATTTTATTAAAATAAAACCATTTAAACTGGGTGTTCGGATTTATATGTCACTTAGTATATTATAATAGAACAACATCTCACTTCACTAATATTCTAATTGCAAACATCTTGAATTTACGCAATAGAATAACCACAACAGCTTAAGGGGAATTACTCGAGGATACCATATACTAGAAACCATATAAATCTTAATTTTTCAATTGTACCAGCTTTTTCTTCAGGTAAAATGCCTTGAGTTTTTTAATATCGGCCCATTGTTTAGACATGACAAAATTAATATATTACGTGAAAATACAGTAATTAAAGTCACGCAACGGCATATAATTAGTTGTTGCAATGTCAGCGACAATATCACTTGAGGCGATACAAGTTTGGATGAAAAATTCGTTGTTAGACGAATTGCTATGTCTTGTTTTCTCGGCTGTATACACCTACATAACTATTTAACCTGTTACGGCATAACGATCGCATCACAATTCAAGGGCAAACGAAAAAAACGCCATAAGAACTTGACCATGATATCATCAGGCTATTGTATCTCGCTTCTTTTGATTCTCATTGAGTGTATGGAATCAGCTTACTTTTAGGAACTATTGTAATCGCAAACAATTTCTAAAATAAGTTTACTTTTTGAATTTAATATACAGGGTGTCCCAGAAGTCGACGTCAAGTCGAAACCGGGTGATAGGCAAAGTCATAACAGCTATCAGAAAAATATTTAAAAAAATTTTATGTATATGTTTTGAAAATTATAGGTCTTTGAAAAAGATATAGAAATTTCACACCCTACGGCAGTCTGTCAACTCCTGTTACTACAAATATTAACTTTTTTTGGATTTTATTTTTACAATGTAATGATGAATAATGCATCTTCAAACTGGTGTCTCAACCTTACTGCCAGGAAAAATTGTCACTTATTTCCCAACCAAGTATTCCAAAGTAAAACTTTGCTCAACTTTAACTGGCTGTACTGGAAAAAATGTACTACGAGAGTTTGGCAAGTAACCTTAAAAGTTGGCGCATTTAATACCGATTCCAAAATGGTATAACACTTAGAAGATTACTCGTTAACTTATGCACAATTTTTATTTGAAAAAAACTGATGAAAATTTTTAAAAATTTCCTAATTAAACAGCGATTATGAAAACGCACAAGGACCCTTAAGGATAACGGTCTGCACAACAGTGGGCGTCAAAATGCAGCTGATGATGATTTACCTTTACAGCAAATGCTCAAAGTGTTTTCCTTCAGCCGCAATACAAGCTCGACATCTTCTTAAAAAAGATCGGGTTATTAAACGAGCGAATCCACGGTTATTAACAAACTCAGCTGCTTCCAATAGTCTTTGCCGTAGCTCAGCTACATTTTGAAACGGCTTGAAATACACTTTTTCTTTTACAGTTCCCCAGTAAAAAAATCTAAAGGATTAAAATCAGGTGATCGGGCTGGCCACGATATTGTACCAGATCACCCTATCCATCTGCCTGGAAAGTTTTGATCGAGATACTCTCTCACTGAGAGTGCATAGTGCGCTGGGCAGCCATGATGCTGAAACCACATGTTCTTGTAAATACTCAGTGGCACGTCCTCCAATAAATTTTCTTTCTCTTCTCTCATCAAATGAGGGTTTGCTACGTGCCACTCGTGTAAGTTATGCAGGTTCATGTACCCATCTTTCTTAAATGTGGTCTCATCCGACCATAAAATTATTTCAAAGAACTGTGGATCTTTCCTGTGTCTTTCTATCATTGTGCGACAAAAAGCAACTCGGGGCTCATAATCCCGGGGCAGGAGAGGTTGAACACACTGTATATGGTATGGATGAAGCACATCACTTACTTGCTATTGCACACTTTGATACCGATCAGTACTCCTTCGTTTATTGCACATCTTTACATGTTTGTGCTTGTTGATTTCGTACTGTTACTAATTTTGGATTCGTGAACTGGACTGTTGATCGCTTGTGATTTGGATTTGGACTGTTTAATTGCTCTTCAAAACAACATTTGCTTTCCTTAGACTATCTTTGATAGTGTGATTGTGCAGTGCCGCTATGTCCGTGTACACCGTACAAGAATATGCTAACATGTACCTCATTTATGGGGAATGCAGATGCAACGCTGCAGCGAGACTTTACTGTGAGAGGTACCCGAATGCAGCTCGTCATCCAGATCATCGAGTGTTCACAAATGTGCACCGCTTACTGTTCTCAGAGGGCCAACTACCAAACCAATCACACGCTGAGGGAAGATCTTTCCTTCCTTACGCAGACGTGGTGCTAGGAGCTGTCGAAGAAGACCCGAGTACTTCAGTGCGTGCAATAGAATTAAAAACAGGTGTGCCCAAAAGTACAGCCCATAGAATCTTGCAAAAAAACGTGCTCCATCCATACCACGTACAGCATGTTCAAGCTCTTCTGCCCCGGGATTATGAGCCTCGAGTTGCTTTTTGTCGCACAATGTTAGAAAGACACAGGGAAGATCCACGGTTCTTTGAAAAAATTTTATGGTCAGATGAGACCACATTTAAGAAAGATGGGTACATGAACCTGCATAACTTACACGAGTGGCACGTAGCAAACCCACATTTGATGAGAGAAGATAAATCTCAATATCGCTTCAAGATAAACCACTGGACTGGAATTTTAAATGGTAAAATAATCGGTCCGTTTGAGTTCCCAGACACTTTGACTGCTGAGGTTTATTTAGGTTTTTTGCAAAATCATTTAGAAAATTTATTGGAGGACGTGCCACTAGGTATTTACAGGGACATGTGGTTTCAGCATGATGGCTGCCCAGCGCACTATGCACTCTCAGTGAGAGAGTATCTCGATCAAAACTTTCCAGGCAGATGGATAGGGCGGTCTGGTACAATACCGTGGCCAGCCCGATCACCAGATTTGAATCCGTTAGATTTTTTTTACTGGGGAACTGTAAAAGAAAAAGTGTATTTCAAGCCGATTCAAAATGTAGCTGAGCTACGGTAAAGACTATTGGAAGCAGCTGAGTTTGTTAATAACCGTGGATTCGCTCGTTTAATAACCCGATCTTTTTTAAGAAGATGTCGAGCGTGTATTGCGGCTGAAGGAAAACATTTTGAGCATTTGCTGTAAAGGTAAATCATCATCAGCAGCATTTTGACGCCCACTGTTGTGCAAACAGTTATCCTTAAGGTTTCTTGTGCGTTTTCATAATCGCTGTTCAACTAGGAAATTTTGAAACATTTTCATCAGGTTTTCTTCAAATAAAAATTGTGCATAAGTTAACGAGTAATCTTCTAAGTGTTATACCATTTTGGAATCGTTGTTAAATGCGCCAACTTTTAAGGTTACTTGCCAAACTCTCGTAGTGCATTTTTTCCAGTACAGCCAGTTAAAGTTGAGCAAAGTTTTACTTTGGAATACTTGGTTGGGAAATAAGTGGCAATTTTCCCTGAACGAGAAAAGTTGGCAGTAAGGTTGAGACACCAGTTTGAAGATGCATTATTCATCATTACATTGTAAAAATAAAATCCAAAAAAAGTTAATATTTGTAGTAACAGGAGTTGACAGACTGCCGTAGGGTGTGAAATTTCTATATTTTTTTCAAAGACCTATAATTTGCAAAACACATACATAAAATTTTTTTAAATATTCTTCTGATAGCTGTTATGACTTTGCCTATCACCCGGTTTCGGCTTGACGTCGACTTCTGGGACACCCTGTATGTACATTAGGATGTCCCAGTCTATGAATGCAAACTAATATTTTCCATTTGGAGTAATGTAACTTTTCCTCATTTGACTTTGATTAGTATCAGGCTGTATTAGTTGTGATGGGAATAGTTTCTTGCAAATCTATCTCAGAATCTAAAGATGATTTTTTATGCACTGGTTCGTAAGATGTCGAAGCAACATATTTAGTTTGCCGCTTTTGTTCTTCGGTGCTCCTAAGAAGCGCCCTTTCTTCTTGTATGTCTAATTTCTTGTCTACCACAGCTGAATGGCTAGGTCGATCTGGCTCTCTCTGCCGCTGCAAGAAGATCCTATCTTCATTTATTTTCATCAATTGAAGGGCAACTACATCGGCGACGATATCAGATTGTCCACGTTCGTAACAAACTCTTGTCGACGTTGCTCAAACACGTCTTATATACAAAGTGTTAGGGAAATAATATTCGTAACTTTAAGAGGTGATTCCTTACGTTATTCTAGGTAAAAAAGTTCATTATAACGCATGTCCGAAAATCAACCGTTTCGGAGCTGAACTTACTTCTTTTTAGTCATGAAATAAATTAATTTTGCACCTTAATAACTCAAATCCATATGCCTAATAGCGTAACATTTATCAATACACCTATTTATTAATTAACTGTCTCTCCAACAAAATAATTTTCTTGCTTACTAAATACAATTTTCCGAAGAAAAACAGAAAAACTAAATCCCTCACACAACTGGCAACGTCGTACTCCGCTTGCACTGCATGTATCATCGCGTGTTGTTGTGATTACTAATACATTTAACTGTAACCTTATGTGATTTACGGATGTTGTTCTTTTTTCTTGTTTCGTTTCATATCGCATCGTCTCATATATCGGTATATCGCCACGTACCGGTAAGTTTCTTCAATGTAAATGTACTGTACTGGAAGCTGTTAAATAAAAAATATTAGCCATAAAAAATTGCGCAAAAGTATTCAATAATTCAAGGCATATTTTCAACAAAAACGTCACACAAACGTAAACAATTCGATGAATCAGTTGCGGTCGTCGTGCGCTCGTATCGCGGTTGCGTTGCAGCGTTGCCAAATGTTTGAGAAAATTTGATCGTTTACGACTCGCTTTCCCCGAAAACGATTGATTTTCGGACATAAATTATAATGAACTTTTTTGCTTAGAATAATCACCTCTTAAAGTTTCGAATATTATTTCTCTAAAACCCTGTACATACTGACAGTAAAAGAACTTTGAAAAGAAAATTTAGTAGATAATGTTCTTTTAATGATAAATAGCGACAAGGCAAACATGGAGGATTATGACTATGAGGGCAACGACATCGGCGACGATATCAAACAGATTTTCCATGTTCGTAACAAACTCTTGTCGACGTTGCTCAAACACTTCTTATATACAGGGTGTTAGGGAAATAATATTCGTAATTTTAAGAGTTGATTCCTTGCATTATTCTAGGCAAAAAAGTTCATTATAACCCATGTCTGAAAATCAACCGTTTTGGAGCAAAAAAATTCTGAACTTATTTCTTTTCAGTCAAAATTATAATAGCTAAATATTATTATTTTGATTTTTTTATTTTTTAACTTAAATTCATATGCCTAATAGCGTAAAATGTATCAATACATCTATTTATTAATTAGCTGTCTCTAACAAAATGATGTTCTTGCCTATTAAATACAATTTTCCGAAGAAAATCAGAAAAACTAAATCCCTCACACAACTGGCAACGTCGTACTCCGCTCGCACCGCATGTATCATCGCGTGTTGTTGTGATTACTAATATACTAAGTGACATATAAATCCGAACACCCAGTTTAAATGGTTTTATTTTAATAAAAGTTGGTGAATGTATTTATCTTACTGTAAATAACAAGTGAAAACATTTTCAGCCTTATCAGTTGGACATTCCGGTTTTTATACTGCTTTTTTTTAATTCACTAACGCTCTAAAAATGAATATTTCAACCGCAGTAAAGAATCAACGTTGGCGGATTTTGGTTCTTGACATCCTTTACGATCGGTTACGATGCATAGAGTACGGAGACCTGTACGATTTCGTCAACTTAGTGAGTTTGATGATAGGGGCCGTATAGTGGGACTTCGGGAAGCTGGACTTTCTTTTCGGGCAATTGCAGTTAGAGTGCAAAGAAGTGTAGACACTGTGGTTAGGTGTTGTCTGGCATGGCTTCGAGAAGGCCGTACCCAAAGAGCAAGGGGCACTGGACGCCGCCGTAGAACAACAGACCGTGAAGATCGCCGCCTAAGATTATTGGCCTTAAGGAACCGTTTCTCCACTACCAGGTCCATTGCAAATGAATGGTTTGCAGAACACGGAAGACCTATTGGCAGGCGAAGTGTTTACCGACGAATGAGAAGTTTTGGCTTGTTTTCATACCGGCCACACTGGGTCCTCCCTTTAACTCGAGAACACCGAGGTAATCGCCTTGAGTGGTGCAGACAACGGTCACTCTGGGATCAGGAATGGAACAGTATTGTCTTTAGTGACGAGTCTCGATTTTGTTTAGGCATGCACGATGATCGTGCCAGGGTTAGAAGGCGACGTGGTGAAAGGAGGAATCCACAGTTTTTTGTTGAAAGGCATGTTCATCACTCTGTTGGAGTTATGGTTTGGGGTTCTATAGCTTATGGTTCCAGGTCACCTTTAATCTTCATCAGAGGTAACATGTACGCGCAGCAGAAATTTGTATCATTTACTTATTATACGTCATTAAGTACTTATACAAAATTTTATTAAAATAAAACCATTTAAACTGGGTGTTCGGATTTATATGTCACTTAGTATAATATGTCGTAAAGCTACCGGCAAACTTAAAACCTGTAAAAAAATAGAATTCTTGTTTCACTGAGAATTTGCACTTCTTTCTATAAAAATATCATTTATTTTGTTAGATTATTCCAAGACCATTGAAGAAAATACGGACCTGTACAATCTCGCTTTTGGGCATGTTGTGTTCTGTTGTAGTCTGACTGGTAGTCGATATTACCTGTCTACTAACCGTGCAGATCCTTCAATTTTTGCATTCCTACTGCTCACAAATAAAAGCAGGAACACCGTAATCTAACTGGTACACCACAAACATGAGTAATAAATACCCTACAATAATTAACGCTAATGCATGATCTTTCAATTTATCCACAAGAATGAAATCAAATCGTGCGGAACCTTATGTAATATTTTTAGAAAACGGCGGAGCATTGAATTCAAGTTTTGTTGTCACACCTTGAAATCCAACTTTTTTAGCTTATCCAAGTTCACTCGCTGACCCAATTTTCTGCATTTCCGACATCGATTATCGCTAATTTGGTTCATTTGCATAATACGGTTGAAATGATTCAGAATATAATAACAGACTTCGGTGCTTTTTGCGCGATCTTAACGAAGTTACCGATTTTTGAGGTCATACTGAGTTTTGTCACAATCTATGGCATATACGCTTCTATTACAATAGTAGTACAAATCAAAATCAAAGGGTTCCGAGACTGTTTGCTAGAGAAGAGTCATCGATGAGTCGGTACCTTACATCTTTATATGGGGCAACACGTTAAAAAAATTGCATCCTCGCTGTTCGGTGTCTTTCAATTTCTTGATCTCCTTAAGGCGTACCCAAAAAATAGGACATAAAACTTTCACTCAGGAATTCTCATATTTCACTTATAACCAACAACGCCAAAGACTGTTCTGTAGCTACAATGTTGTATAGACTTGAGTTAATCACCCGGAGTCAGACCACTTGACATTTATGATATTTTTGAAATGATACGAGGGTAGGCTCTAAAGTTCCCAGCCTAACAATGAAAGAGTGCGTTTTTTGGCTGAAAAGTATTTTAATTTTTTTACGTAATACCCTTCGATCTCAACACACTTAATCCAACGTTTCTCCAACATTAAGGTTCCTTTTCGGAAGTGGAAGCCTGGAAGGTTGTCACCCTCACAAATTCTTCATCAGACCGAAAATTTCTTCAAATTTGTAAAAAATATGAATGATGCCTGGCACACCAAACATTTTCGCAGTACCTCACATCCAGGCGCTGACTTTCATTTTCCACTTGACATCGCAAAATAAATTTCTATACAATTTAAATGACGGGAAATAAAAAATAATGTAAAATGTAATCACTTTTTCACGTTTCATAAATATTCCTATCTGTGGCATATTTTCTCACCTGTTGGTCACTTTTTTCTTATCTCTCTCATTTTAGAAATTCAGCAAATTTGCACATGTAATTTCCAGCTTTGCATACATCCCAAGTAACTGTATTTGACACAAGAAAGCAATAGAATTATCACCAAGACAGATTATTCTGTCAGGTCTAAAAGTTTTCACCTTAATTACATATACTAAGTGACATATAAATCCGAACACCCAGTTTAAATGGTTTTATTTTAATAAAAGTTGGTGAATGTATTTATCTTACTGTAAATAACAAGTGAAAACATTTTCAGCCTTATCAGTTGGACATTCCGGTTTTTATACTGCTTTTTTTTAATTCACTAACGCTCTAAAAATGAATATTTCAGCCGCAGTAAAGAATCAACGTTGGCGGATTTTGGTTCTTGATATCACTTACGATCGGTTACGATGCCTAGAGTACGGAGACCTGTACGATTTCGTCAACTTAGTGAGTTTGATAGGGGTCGTATAGTGGGACTTCGAGAAGCTGGACTTTCTTTTCAGGCAATTGCAGTTAGAGTGCAAAGAAGTGTAGACACTGTGGTTAGGTGTTGTCAGGCATGGCTTCGAGAAGGCCGTAAGTAAAGAGCAAGGGGCACTGGACGCCGCCGTAGAACAACAGACCGTGAAGATCGCCGCCTAAGATTATTGGCCTTAAGGGACCGTTTCTCCACTACCAGGTCCATTGCAAATGAATGGTTTGCAGACGAATGAGAAGTTTTGGCTTGTTTTCATACCGACCACACTGGATCCTCCCTTTAACTCGAGAACACCGACGTAATCGCCTTGAGTGGTGCAGACAACGGGATCAGGAATGGAACAGTATTGTCTTTAGTGACGAGTCTCGATTTTGTTTAGGCATGCACGATGGTCGTGCCAGGGTTAAAAGGCGACGTGGTGAAAGGAGGAATCCACAGTTTTTCACACTGTTGGAGTTATGGTTTGGGGTGCTATAGCTTATGGTTCCAGGTCACCTTTAATCTTCATCAGAGGTAACGCGCAGCGTTATATCCACGAAGTTCTAGAACCCCATCTTTTACCCTATCTTGACACCCTGGCAGATCCAACTATCCAACAAGATAATGCCCGACCACATGTTGCAAGAGTCACAATAGACCTCTTTCAACATAATGATGTCACATTGTTACCATGGCCACCAAGATCTCCCGACTTATCCCGAATTGAGCACGTGTGGGATATGATGGGTAGGAGATTGCTCAATTTGCAACGTCCTCCTCAGACTCTAGAAGCACTTCGAGAGGAGTTGGACATTGACCACCTGATCAGAAGCATGCCTAGGCGCGTTGGAGAATGCGTAGTACATCAGGGTGCATCCACACATTATTAAAGGTCAAAGGGCTTTAAAGCAGTGCAATCATTTTGAAATTTTTATCATTTACTTATTATGCTTCATTAAGTACTTATACAAAATTTTATTAAAATAAAACCATTTAAACTGGGTGTTCGGATTTATATGTCACTTAGTATATATGGTGAAACCTGCACACACACTAAAACACTTATTGATGGCTATAACAATAACTAAAAATATATCATACCAGATGTACAAGATGGTGTCCGCTATTTTGTAGGCAGAACTTGAAGCTTCTCTGTTTACTGATCGGTTTATTTCTCTTCTTCTCGGTCTTCAAAACTCTGTTACTATGATCAATTTGCGGTCTTCAAAACTGCCATATGCACCCTATGCGTAAATTGTCCACACCTTTTTATTTCCTTATAATTTTCGCAATTATTTTTTCTCCCATGGTTTCAAACATCTAGCAACTGTGCTTCGAAGCTGGGGCCTCTCTGAATTTTCCTATATGGGCGCGAACACTTGTGAGGTACACCCTAGAGCAGAGTTCCCCAAACTTTTTTGTGTCGTAGACCCCTTGCCATGTTTTTCCGTGTAGGGTAGACCTTCTACTTACCTGATATTGATTTCCTGTAAATTTCTAACTGTAGTGAAGTTTAGTGTTAAAAACTTAAAGTAAAAACACATGTTAATTTATACATTTATTAATTGAATTTAAATTAAAACTACTCAAAATAAAATTTTGTATCTGTTATGTAAAATATACGTAACATTAAATAAACAGGTGTCTGACCAATAAGTGCCCGCATTGGGAATAAGTGCCCGCATTGAAAAAAAAAATAAGAGGGATAAAATAAAAAAAAGTGAAAAATAATAAAAAAAAGTTATTTACTTAAAATAGTACAATAAGCGAGTTCGTTTATTAATTATAACATAAACGTATGTTCTACAATAATTTTACTGTTAGTTTGATTAAATTCCGCTTCTTATACGTTTAAGTAATCTAAAAATAGGCAAAAAATTAACGAATTTTACTGTGTACCTATCCTTGAATTTTCAGAATAATAATAAAAAAAATATTTTCTATAAAGGGGGGTTCTTTAAAAAAATCAATGCGGGCACTTATTCCCAATGCGGGCATTTATTGGTCTGACACCAATAATCATAAAATAAACTATAAATAAAAGAACATAAGCAATAAGTCAATATTTTTAGTGTGAAGGATGAACCTGATGCTTTAATAATAAATTATCAACATTTGGCGTCAATTTTGTAAGGGTTAATCTTAAATCTCCTCGGCTAAGGATGTCCAGTCTGTTTCTTTTTCTCGTTAGGAGATTGGTAACAGCGCTGAGCCCCCTTTCCACTAGGTATGACGATGGAAGGAAATAAAAAATTTTCTCGCTATATTCCATAATACGGGATAAGTAACGGGTATGTTGTATTGCAGCCAGAATTGCTGATATCCATTTTTAAACTAACCTTAAGTTCGTCGTTTGTACTTAGTTCAGTCAGTTCCTCTTGTATTATGACATTCGTTTCTTCTATGTCACCATATGGATTAATTATCCACGGTGGTATTACCATAGTCAAAATATCCTCAAACCTAGATTCAAAATCTGAATAGAGGGCATTTAAATGTTGAACGTAAGTAGAAACGTCGTCTTCCTGGCAGCTTGTCTGTGACAAATTGGGGAACTGAGAAAATTCGCCCCGTCCAATATTTTGCTTCATTAGTTTAACTCTGGCAAGAAACGCTGATAAGATGGACTTTGTTTTAATCAAATTTAAACTGTCGCCTTGTAATTGCAAATTAACCGTATTAAATTTTGTAAACAAATCTGTTAAATAGGCGATGTCTGTTTTCCTCTTTATTAAATTTTCTTTTAAAAGTTTATCTTTAGTATCTAGAAATTCTAAAATAGTCTCAAAAAGTGCAAAAAATCTTGTCAAACATAAGCCTTTCGTCAGCCAGCGTACTTCAGTGTGAAGGAGTAATTGATGAAAGTGTCATTTTCTTCACACAACTGCGCAAATAACCGCGTATTCAACGCGTTGCTTCGGATTCGGTTTACTGCATCAATGACTAAATGAAGTGATTCATGCAATCTAACACTCAAATTTTTAGCAACTAAATGTTGTCGATGGATGACGCAATGTATTGCTAACATCCCTGACACATTTTAAACAGCTTATAAATCCACGATAACGTCCAACCATGGCAGGTGCTCCATCTGTAGCAACTGATATTATATTTGATAATAGAATTGCTTTTTCAATGAAGTAATCCTTCAAAACATGAAATATTGATTCACCTTTAGTGTCGGTTATCAAAGTTCTTGCGAAGAGCAGTTCTTCGTAGATTTCTTGATTCATAATAAAACGAACATATGCCAATAATAATGCTGCATTATCAGGTAAAGTCGACTCGTCCAGTTGTATAGAGAAATGGGTCGTTTGCAAATAATTACATAAGAAGCTTTCAATATCAGAACTCATTTCATCAATACGTCTTTCAATAGTATTGTTGCTTAAGGGAATTCTTTTAATGATATCAGATGCAGGTTTGTGTAAAACAGTTTTTAAAACCTCTTCAACGGCTGGCAAAATTAACTTCTCTCTGATAGTATGCGGTTTTCCGGATTTTGCTACAAGTAACGAGATATTGTAAGACGCCTGCAAACCATCATCATTTCTTTGTGACGTCGAAGCGAACATTCTGTCCAGTGTAGGTCTCTTCTGAAATTTATCTTTGAGTGTTTGAAAGTATTTCAAATCTTTCTCTGTTTTATCAGGGTCACATCTTCTCAGATGATCTTGCAGTTTAGATGGTTTCATAGCGTCATTGCCCAAAACTTTGTTGCATAAAAGGCACATAGGCGATTGTTTGTCCGGCAATGATGGAATGAAGCCAAATTTCAAATAATCAACACTGTACTGTCTTGAATATTTAACTACTAATAACTAAAGTCATGATTGGCGTAATTTATCTATCTTTGCTAACTACGAGTATAAAACTAAAATTTAATGAAAAATAATGTACTTACTTTTCTCCAGCACTCTCAAACAAAATAACACTGACTCACTATAATTTGTGTGATATACTATCTGTTTATATTTTTTAAAATATTTTCTTAGCACTTTCCTTTTCAAGATTCATGAAACGAATAAACGTATTTGTCCCACATTCGTATTTATAGAGTGACGAATTGAACAAGTCAGTGCAAGGTAGCGAAGCTCTGAGACTGCGACTCTCAGGTTTTTACAAGTTCAAAATGTATTGCGACCACAAAGCGAATACCAACATCATACAACTTACACAATTTTATAAACATATATATATATATACATATAGGTGAAAAATTTCGAAGTACCCAACAAAAGGCGGAAGCTTTAATTTTTCACCTAACTGGTCTAGACGACAATGACCACGTCTCAAGTTATATATATATATAAAATAGGTACTATCAGTGTATGTGTTGAGATCCACTATCGTGGACCCCCATATTCATTTCATGGACCCCCAAATTTTGTTTCGCTGACGTGGACCCCTTGCAGGTTGTCATAGACTCCTAGGGGTCGATATAGACCACTTTGGGAATCAACGCCCTAGAGTGTATGGCTGGCTTAAGCGACGTGAGATAGCACAGCACGTGATTGTTAGTGCTTCTGTTTCAATCCAATGCGACCAACCGACCAACCCACTTTTTGTTATGCAACAATTAATTCATCCTTTACGCCGGTTCTCACTGACCGGTATGGTCATTGGAATACTTTACAGGCCAAAGACTCGAGTT